AAAAAGGACAATCGTCCCCTGACTAATTTTCGAGGTGTTTTGGAACATTCCTCCTGTAGAAGGACATGCCCGGATCCAAGGTGCGTCCTGGCTCCAGCCAGACCGCCGTGGTCTGGCAGGGCCGCTTTATTGGACGTATGTCGGCGCCTTGCCTCGCCTCGCCTCCTCTTCCTTGCCAGGCTCTGTCGCCGAGCGTCACCCAGCATCTGTTTCTCACGCCACGCTGCTCGATGTTCCGGCCTTGCGCACTGCCGGGGAGGAAGACCCGAGCCGCCTCCATTCGGGACGATCGAAATGAGTACGGAAAGATGGGTACAGAGACCGACAGCAGCTCCTCTCCATTTTGAACAGGACTCGCTGTCGGTGGCGCCGCAGCCTGTGTCCATTTGAGACGGCAGGCCGCCTGCCCAACACAGCGGCCGCCGCTGGTTTGGGACAGCACTTGCGGTTGGAAAGTGTACCTAGTTTTTCCCGTACCCACTTCGGGCGTCCAAATCCTTGTGTTAAGTCGGGCGTGTCCCCCTACAGGGGGATTTTCGACGAAAAATAAAAAGTACAAAAAATACACCAAAAATAGTCCCCAGACTATGGTTGGACTATTTTTTATTATGTTGAGGGTATTTTTTCATTTTTCGTCGAAAATCCCCCTGTAGGAGGACAGGCCCGACATAATCCTTGTGGGCCGCTGCCCTGTCCCGTCGTGCCCCTTTCCGGCTCTTCGGCGCTTCGGCCGGGGTGGGCCCGAGGAGGAGCGAGGAGGGCCCTCCCGGTTCGGCCCGGACTGTGGCGACGGGCCTCCGCCGCCCCTCCCCCTCCCCTTCCCCTTCCTCCTCATCCTCCTCGTCGTCCTCCTCCTCCTCCTCCTCCTCCTCCTCCTCCTCCTGCTCCCCCTCCTCCTCCTCCTCCTCCTCCTCCTCCTCCTCTTGCTCCTCTTCCTCCTCATCGTCCTTCTCCTCCTCATCCTTCTCCTCCTCCTCATCATCATCATCGTCCTTCTCCTCCTCATCCTTCTCCTCCTCCACCTCCTCCTCCTCCCTCCTCCTCCTCCTCCTCCTCCTCCTCCTCCTCCTCCTCCCCTCCTCCTCCTCCTCCTCCTCCTCCTCCTCCTCCTCCTCCCTCCTCCTCCTCCTCCTCCTCCTCCTCCTCCTCCTCCCCCCCTTCCCCTCCCCCATATCTCTCGGGGCGGGCTGCGCATGCGTGGGCCCTCGGCTCTCATGGAGGTGGCCTTCCCCTCTGAGCCACGTGGCTGGCCGGCCCTGGAGTCCTTCCCGTGGAGTCCCCCCCCCCCTCCTTCCTTCCCCCCCGATCCCTCCCCAGAGAGCACAGCAGCCCCTCCGCCGACTCCGCCGCCCCCCCTCTGTGAAGCGAAGCTTCACAGGGTCAAATACACCTCTGCCTTCGAGCTGCTCTTGACGTGGCTCGATATGATCCTCTTTTCCCTGCAGCGCCGCCTGCACCGCAACAGTACTCGCCACCAGTGCTGTGTCTGCGCACGGAGTGTGTGGAGAGGGAGAGGTGGGTAGTATTGGGCTCAATTGAATAGAAGGTAGGAGAAAGACGGGGGGGCCTCTGATGGCCCCTGGGACCCTGCTGGCCCCTCAATGAAGGCCTGCAGCCAAATGGCTATGGATGGAGCGAACCTTAAACACGATCCAAGATCGAAAGATCGACACCGACCCTAAAATATCTTCGCTCACATCCATAGGCTGGCAGCTGACGAGTAGCAGAGACAGAAAATTCAGTCCTTCGGAGACTCTTCGAGGCTACCCCAAAGGTCTGGACGGAAATCTAGCTCGGTCACGGACTCTAGGGCAGATATCCCTTGACCTTTCCGCCTCTTAGCGGACTCGAACATTTGGTCGTACACTAAACGCCATCGACAGCCGTTACTGAAAAACAAATCTAATTGCCAACGCTCATGGCCTTTAGTCAGGCTATTCGCTAGCATAGCATCACTGTGAACCCATCTAACTGGACACGCACATGCCTCGATGCCGTTTCTCAGTGCTAGAAGTTCGAGACCCGTTCTGAACTCTTTGCCTCCCATGAGCTTCTCGGGGCACTTCAATCTGTCGTACAGGTTTTTCGAGTCTGTGACTAGACACCCAGGAACTCGTCGAACTTGGGCCCAGGGATCTCGAAGGTCTGGTCGCCACCCCGAAAGTTCCGAAAGCAGGAACCTGACAAACGTGAGCTCATCCTCTGTATTTACTGTAGCTGATACCTCGGCAGCGGGTGGGGATCGACATGTTCGTTCAACCTTGCCAGAACGCCAACTGATCAGTGAAACCCCGGTCTCGATCCCTTCCAGAAACGACTCCGGGACGATCCCAAGAACTCGGCCTTCTGTGGATTTTCCATCAACTCGATTAGCAAATGCAGCATCACCCCAGCCTATGACCGCCAAAGATTCCTTCTCGGGAAACGAAAACACCTCCAAGAATCTGTTGTTACCCTCCTTGGCTCTCTTGATCAACTTATTGACCTTCAGGAGGTCCTCTACGGTGCACGACTCTGTCTTGCTCTGCAACAGACTCAGCTCTGCTAGGATGTCTGGCCCGGTCTGCGTACCCTTCCACTGGAGACTACCGGTGGCCGCTCTGAACTGACTCTTTTCTGATGATGTGACGGGCGACGATGGCTGTCGCCTCCGGTCAGGAGGCACCTCGATCTCCATGATCTGTTCCAGGTAGGTCTTCTGATCCAACCTGAAGCTGTAGTCCTCGCGCTGGTGAATGTCCACCCCGCACTGCGTGAACTTGCCGTACTCCCACTCGGTCCATCGGAAAGCGTCCATGATCGCCTTCTTGGCATGAGCCCACACATCATCTCCGTCACGACCTGCGAATAGAAAGTCATCAACATGAGATAGCGCCATCCCGATGATGTACTCCGGTTGACCCTCAGAGATGAACCGCGTCAGGATCCACACGCACGGATCTGACTCCAGTTGTCGCCAACCCAGCTCTTGCAACTTCTTGTTCACTGCTTGGTGCCACGCCCGAGGAGCCTGCACCAGGCCATACGCTGACTTCTTAAGGATAGCTACTTGTCCGGGTCGAAGGCCAAGAAACTCCGCGATGTCTCCGGTCGGTCTAACAAATAGGTCACGATCCAACTCTTCACCCTGGAGAAACGCCGACTTCACATCGCCCTTGGCCACCCGCATTCGTAGATGTGCCGCCTTCTGAAGGAAAACCTGCCGGGCTGTCCTTGTGGCTGTTGGAGCATAAGATTCCTCGGTGGTCAGGTCTGGGTCCTGATAGCCTAGGATAACCAGACGAGCCTTTGCTTTTCGTCCGCCAGGTTCAGATGGATCTATCTTCCACGTAAGGACCCACCGAAGCCGCATGAGGCGATCGGCTGGCACCCGTACATGATCGGGCAAAGCCTCCAGGACCAGCTCCTTGATCCACTCCTGGGCCTCCTTGGACTTGGCTTTCTTGAACTTCTCCAGGTCGTCGGCCGACAAGGATCGTTCTCGTACCTCAGCTCTCTGTCGCCGCAGTTGAGTGGCCACGAAAGCTCCAAAGTCTCGCACTGCTGAGCAAGCCTTAGCTCCTTCCGGAAGAGTAATCTCGAGCTCGACAGCGCTATCTTCCTTGGCCCAGAAACAAGACTCAGGCTCACTCTCAACCAGCAATGCACCCTGCTCCTTCTCGTCCTTCGCCAACTGCCTGGCTGACTTGTCCTTGCCATAGTCGCCGACTGCCGATGAGGAGGCCGGTAGACCTTCCCAGGCATATGGAGAAATCCTCGTCGAAGGAGTCCTCGACTTGTTCGGTGGCCTCGCCGGTGTCGCTGGAAAGGTCCCTACCATGTCTGAAGAGGCAGACCTAGGGGTATTGCCGTCCGTCTTCAGGGCCTTCGAACGTTGCTCATGCTCTTCAGGACTCCGCTTGCCACGCAGTCGAGGACGCAGTGGTGGGTCTTCTTCCATAACCGTAGGTAGAGGAGGCACTCCTGAGGCCTCATCGTAGTCACGATCGGAAGGTATGAGACGCTCGTCCTCCGCCAGATCCTCGAACTGGCCTGGTCTCAGGTTGCTCGTGAGTTGGTTGAATGTCCACGGCAGTTCGGTTCCATGCAGTATGTCATGCTCGGCAATCTCCCGATCCGAAGCGTCTCGCAGCTGACACGGATCACACCTGATGAGCCTCCCGCACGCGTTGAGCCACACTCTCGGTCGAGCTTGAGCTTCACCGTGCCGGTGGACAGTCTCGCTCGCCAGCACACGTGCGGGTCCGTAGAAACGTCCAGTCATAGAGCTGCTCTTCGGATTCCTGAAGTAGTAGACCAGGGTGCCGGGCGTGTAGACTCGAAGGCGTCGAGACCTGGCATGTGCTGCACGCCTGGCTCGCTCGCCGTAGATCCACCTCAAAAGCTCCTCCTGAGCCTTCCTCATGAGCTGGAAATTGTTCCCGAACTCTGTGTCTACGGCCTCTGATTCCAGGGCTGGAAGGTTGATCGGGTCACCCGGAACGTCGACAAACGCACCATCTAGATCTGGTGCCCGTCCCAGTGCTACTTGTAGAGGTGAGAAACCCCGGTGTCGGTCGAACTCGTTGTACGCGGCCATAGCCCTGGCCAGGTACTCTTCGCATGACCTCCCAGGATGCTCCTTCGCCAACACCGTCATGGTGTCCTTGATGAGGCTGATGAGTCTCTCGACCCCTCCGATCTGCCAATGAGCTTGGCCTGGGATGGGATCCATCTGAATACCGCTGCCTTCCAGGTTCTCCCGGATAGCGTTGCTCATCCACGCACCTTCAGGGTCTACCTGGAGCACACGAGGTCGACCGAAATATCCGATCCACCTGCTCCAAAGTGAGTCCTTCAGATCCTCTGCCGTGGCGTTCCTGCTCTTGACCATCTTGAATAATGTGTGTCCTACTCCAAGTCGGCTTCCCATATCCAGGTAGAGAGCAATCTTGAACTTCTCGTGAGTACATGGATCCTCCCATTCAGCCAGATCGCTCTGAAGCACTGCCCACTTCTTCGGAACTTCGTCAGCTGACCCCACCGGTCGGGGCGGACAGTGCTTCTGACTCTCGTCACAAGCTGAACAACGCATCTGCCTGACATGATCGATGATCCGCTTGTCTGCGCCCTTGGCTGCCAACGACTTAGCCACTTGGACGAACGGGCAGTGACCGCACGCCGCATGGATACGTCGAGCTGAAATTTCCACCTTTCTGAGCGTGTCGGCGTCGATCTCTGCCTCAGACTTCGAGACCGTGTAGCCCAGCTCCAGGTCGTTCTCACCCTCCTGCTCTTCGATGTGTCGTTTGATCTCCAGGTATCCTGGTTCGTGCAGCATTGCTCTGACTGCCCTCCGGACGAACTCGTCGGGATAATATGCCGTGGCCGCTGTCCTGGCTCCGCCTACACACGGAGAGTGAGAATGGCGCCCATCACACCGCACTGCCAGTCGCTGTCGGAGGACACTGGACGTCGACCAAATCTCCCACGGCTTTTGCATCGGTAGTCCCGTGTCTATGGCCTTGACCCCGAGCATGCAGCCGTCACAAACCGTGGCCTGCATCTCAGCGTCTCGGAAAACTTGACGGAGCTCGGGCCAGCGGTAAGGTGAGAGGTCCTTCGGCCACTCCCAATGTACATGACCTTGATCTGCGACCTGATCCATGACTAGGGCTAGGCAGTTCCTGATCAACCTCTTGGACTTCTTACGGCTCTGCAGAACCTGAGCCCAGACTTCAGGTTTGTGGATGTTGAAATTCTGATTGCCACTCCATGGCCCACAAGGGAGAGAGAACCACAGGTGACAGGGTCGCACTCGGTGACGTTCGGCACGCGCTTTCTGTAGACCCGCAGCGGTCGACAGGTCGAAACCGTTCCAACCACTAATTCGTGATGCACTGCCCGCTCCTGACTCCTGCTCCATGAAGGTGGTTAGACCCGATGCTGGTGAGCAACAGACCTCCATTAGCTTGACCTTCGCAGTGTCCGTCAGGAGCGACCACGCCGGCGTAACGCTCTTGTCCAGGTGCCCCGCCAGCCAGGTCGCCTGGGAGCTCGTAAGTTCTTTCAAGGGCCCTTGCCGGCCCGCCCAGACGGGGCGGCCGTCGACGACCCTTCCTCGACCTTCTGCACTCTCGAGGTCAGCGCGTGCATCTGGTTCTTCATGTCCCCCAGCAGGTCTATGATCTGATCCTCCTTGGTCTTGACGACCTCCATCTTGACCTGCTCCTCGTGACACGACCTCTTCATCGTCGGACGGTTCGGGATCCTCTGTGCGCTCTCGTCCTTGACATCCTTGACCATGAACCATTGGCTCTCCGACTTCTCGTGTTTCACCTCCGGCTGGGGAAGCTCGAACTTCTCCTTGTTCATCATGTCCTCGGTCTCCACACCCTTGGAGATCAACCAGTCGGTCAGCTTCTTGAACCTCGGGTCCCGCATGCTCACCAACCAGCCCGCATATTCGCGCTCCTTCTCGAACAGGTGGATGTACGTCTGGCCGCGGTGCCTGCCGAACGGAATGATCTCGGAGGGACTGACCTGGACACCTAGCTCCTTGCACTTCTCGACAATCAGGATCTGCAGGTCCCCCTTTGTCTCCCTGCCTGTGAGTATGCATCCGGCATCCTCCGCGTCCTTCACCAACTCCGCCTTTCTCTTGTGCATGGACGTTGGCCTCACCTCGAGGGGCATCGCCTTGTGGATCTGCCGCAGTCTGGCACGGAGCATCTCCACCGTCATGTGGCGGCAGTCCTCGTCCCATTGGCATAGCTCCGCCTGGAGCTCGGCCTTGCGCATCGTCGAGGTGTGAGGGTGACCGTGCATCTCGAGAGGCACTCCCTGGCGGGACAGTCCTCGGTGAAACTTGCAGACTTCGAGCCACAGTATGTGTACGGGCCATCTGCGAGGACCACGTGGGGCTCAGCTGGGTATCTTCATACAACTCATACCGCTTATCTCTACAACTCTGTTCCTTTTCAGAGTCCGTTTGTAAACGTGTATTGATTTTATCGTTATCCAGGTCCCTAGATTCCACTGGCTGCCCGGCTGATTCCGAGCCTCCCCTTAGCGCCCGAGTGACAACCCTAGACGTACCCGAAGATGCCCTCAGGGTCTCTGGAGATCTCGTTTGGCTTCCTGTAGGTCTTATCTGGGTTCCGGTAGCCGTCCTCTGGAATCCTAGACACGTTTTCTGAGTACACGACGGCGGCCCCGACGACGTAGGACAGGCCCCACTAGATCTCGAACCACTCTGTGAGGTCCCGAGAGTTGCCCGTCTCGAACAGGAGGTAGTAGGCCGGGTTCCCGCAGAGCTCCTCGAGGTCCCACCCGGAGGCCATTTTGGAGCCTGAACCTCACCTGGTCTGTTATCCAACGATGCCGTCGCCATCAGTGCTGTCTCTGCCGTACCGTCGCTGTCTGTCGCCATGACGTGATGAGCCGATGGAGGAGGTGGAGGAGGAATGCATGACGCACACTCTGGCGCCTCCTCGTCAGTATCTCCAAGCGCTGGTAGCGGCGCCTGGCTAGAAAGCGATGCCACGCCGCGGCTCAAGATGCAATCCCCCGGCCTGTCGGTGACCCCGACGTCGCCCAGGAGATCGCACGTCAAGTCGATCAGGAGGTGGCCAGTCCTGGACCTCTGGAAGGAAATCATCCTGTGCGGGTCGATGCTCTTGAAGACGCCGATGCCGGCCTCGAAGTCAATCACGGCTCCGAGCTGCCTCAGCGTCTCGATGGACACCAAAATGGGAATCCCCGGAGCGTCGACCGCATGAACCAGGAAAGACACATACACTCCTTTGACCTGCAACTTGAACTTGACTCGGCAGAGGACCCGCTTCACCTCGCCATTCCCGAACTTGTACACCGGGCGGTCGGTCAAGTCCACCTCCATCGGCGGGTGACCCCTGGCAATGAGGAGCTCATTCAAAGCCTCCACTGCCTCGATGCCGCCGATGGTCTTCGTAGCTCCGGAGTCCATGATTCCGTGGCCCATCTCCGTCGTCCTCGACACGATGTAGGCCATCTTGATCTCCGGGTCATCTAGGTCCACACTGTTGTTCAGGTCAACGTGATCCTCGTCGGTGATCTCTGCTGTCAGGACCAGGCCGTTGAACTTCTCTCCCTGCTGAGGGGTGCCTCGAGGACCGGGTGCCCGTCCAGCTAGCTTTGGATCTCCACGGTCTGGACACGCACCCGTGCGATGGGCTCCTCCGCACTTCAGGCAGGGCCCCTGGCGTCCATCACTTCGAGATCCACCATTATTGTTAAAGAAACGCCGTCCCGTCCTGTGCTTATTGATCTGCTGTCGTGCGTCCTGAAGTCGGCGTTGACTGGCCTGGAACTGTGCATAAGCTTCCTCTTCCTCGTCGATGGCATTGGCAAAAGCTGAGTCGTCGCCTTCATCACCGTCTTCCTCCTGTTCAGCTTATGCCACCGACGATACTAGAGCGTGATCACGCTCTTCCTCTCCGTTCCAGGTCTGAGCGTCCTCGCCGTAGAAAGCCGCGGCCGCCACCTGCTGGCGGATGAACTTTGACTTCCTATAGTCCCGGTCCTTCAGGTTCTCGTCGCTGGGCCACTGCGTACGTAACGCACTCTCCACGTTGTCCACTGTGAAATCACCCCTGCACGATCCGATGACCGCCGCGATCTCTCCGCCGTCCAGGCCCGCTCTGTGAAGTAGATACCATCCCCGGACGATGCTCGGGAGAACTTCCGGCAGGTCCTGCGTTGGGAACGTCCCCTGGCTCTCACGGTCGAAACCACGCTGTGGCCAGTGATCGTCCTTCCAGCCGCCCTGCCACCATCGGTGTTGCCGCCACCAGTCTTGTCCGTCAGCTCCTCCCTCGACCTCCCAGTCTCGGACCTCGTCAGGTTCAGCATCTACAACGGTGCCCTCTTCACCGCCGCCAATCCGATGCCACGAACCTGACCCCGCGTCCACTGGCCACTTGTCAAAGGTCGTCGCTGTCGTAGCTGGTGTCTTCACGATCTCCGTCTTCCCGATCATCCGGGAGAGGGCCACCCGCAATCGTTGGTAGCTCTCATGTACCCGCAGGCAGTATTCGGCCATACCTTCGCCGCGCCGGCGGCGGAGCTTCACGAAATACTCTTCCATGTAGTGGCCAACGTCTTCGACAGGCTGCCTCATGACCGTCTGCTGGAGATGCTCCAGCAGCTTGTCAGCACCCCACATGGACGAGAGCCAGCCTCTCGGCCGACCGATGCACGCCGTCGCTGCAGGTCCGGACAGGCGTGCCACCAACCTGGGGCCGCACAGGTACCTGTCCTCCCACTTTGTGCCGTCCACGTAGTTCATCACATTTTGTTGGTACCGCTCCCATGTCGCAGCACTACCATTCCACGTAGGAATAACCTGAGTCACATTCTCCATGGAGCAGAAACCTGCTCCGCTACCATGTGAAGCGAAGCTTCACAGGGTCAAATACACCTCTGCCTTCGAGCTGCTCTTGACGTGGCTCGATATGATCCTCTTTTCCCTGCAGCGCCGCCTGCACCGCAACAGTACTCGCCACCAGTGCTGTGTCTGCGCACGGAGTGTGTGGAGAGGGAGAGGTGTGTAGTATTGGGCTCAATTGAATAGAAGGTAGGAGAAAGACGGGGGGGCCTCTGATGGCCCCCGGGACCCTGCTGGCCCCTCAATGAAGGCCTGCAGCCAAATGGCTATGGATGGAGCGAACCTTAAACACGATCCAAGATCGAAAGATCGACACCCTCCCCCTCCTCCCCCCCCACTGTACCTCCCAGCCCCCCCTCCCCGCCTCCCCGCCCCCTCCCCCCGAGAGCACGCTGGCCCCACCGGCGCACGGACGGCGCACGGGCAACGGGCGCCAGTGCCAGCTATTGGGCTCTCTCCCCCTTGTGCGCCCCGCCCTCCCCGCAGAGGCCACGACGGCCCGCCGCTCTCCCTCCGCCGCCCCGCCCCGGGAGAGGCTGCCGGGCGCGCGCGCAGCGCCGACGGGGCGCCGCATCCGGCGAAGCCGGGCAGCAGGCTGGCGCTCTCCCGCCCGCCTCTGCCGCCGTCGCCATCGCACCCCAGGCCCCCGAACTTACCAGTTTGAAGCAGATCCCTATCCCTATGTTTGGCATCACCTCACCTCGATGCCGATCTCGAGGATTCCCTCAGCTTCTGGGAGCCTATCCCCAAGATTGGCTTCGCTTTTTGCTCGCCCACCTCAGGGAGAGGGACAAGTTCGAGGCTGGTCACGAGCGGTGCGGAGAGCGCCCCGTGAGGGTGAGTCGGCAGGGCTTCGGGGTCGTCGAGCGTTTCCGCTGGCCCCCGAGGGGGTTTCCTGCCTGGGGCTGCGCTCCAGCAGCCGCGCCTCGCCGAGTGCGCTGGGGGGGGGTACCCCGGGTCGCCCCGAGCGGCCGCCGGAGGCCAGAGTTGTGGCCCAGAGTCGGGGAAACGGAAGACTCGAGTGAGCCGGAACTCGGGCCTGCCGGCTTTTTTGTTTGACGAGCGTGTCCTGGATTCTGACGGGCCCGTGTTCGTGGGACGTCTGCAGCGGGAGCCCGCGTCAAAGGTCAGAATGTTTGTCTCGTTATTTTTATGATGGCCCCCGTCAGGCCAACCCGAGCCCCCCGCAACCGAGTCTCACGTCTCCCCGACAGAAGCCAAACCTTCGGAGGAGGGTCAGTATGGTGAGCCAGTGGGGACTCGGGGTAGCTGCCCGGTTTGAGGCTTGGCTCGTTCTCCGAGGATGCCTCTCAGGCGACTAACGGGGGGGGGGCCTCTAGGGTCCCAGCACCGCGCGGTGGCGGACCGCGCGCCGAGGTCCCCTTGGGAGTTCGAGGTCACCGCGCGGTCTGTCACCACACCGTTTTGGAGCCCCCAGTCGCACTATGGCGAGACCGGCGGTAGGGTATTTTTGAGGAGGAGGAGGAGGACGACGACGACGACGACGAGAAGGAGGAGGAGTAGGAGGAGGAAGAGGACGAGGAGGAGGAAGCGGCGGCGGCGGGCAAGAGTAGGCGCGGGATCCTGCATCCACCCGCAGTTCGGGGCCCGTGTTTGCGGGCCACGCCATGGCCATCGGCCAAGCATGGTTCGAATTGTGAGCCAGTTTTGCAGAACATTTACGCCAAAACGTGTTTCCTCGTGCGTGCCTGCGTGTGTGTGTGTGTGTGCATGTGAATGTGAATGTGAATGTGTATGTGTGTACGTGTGCGTGCGTGCGTGCGTGCGTGTGTGTGTGTGTGTGCGTGTTTGTGTGTGTCTGTGCGTGTTTATGCGTATGTGTTTGTGTGTGCGTGTGTGCGTGTGTGTGTGTGAGTGTGCGCGTGTGTGCGTGTGTGTGTGCGTGTATGTGAGTGTGCGCGTGCGCATGTGCGTGTGCGTGTTTGTGCGTGCTTGCGTGCGTGCGTGCGTGTGTGTGTGTGTGTTGGTGCGTGCGTGCGTGCGTGCGTGCGTGCGTGCGTGCGCGTGTTTGTGTGCGTGTGTGGTTGTGTGCGTGTGTGTTTGTGAGAGTGTGTGGTTGTGTGCGTGTGTTCGTGTGTGTGTGTGTGTGCGGGTGTGCGTGTGCCTGTGTGTGTGCGCCTATGTGTGTCTTGGTGTGTGTGTGCCTGTGTGTGTGTGTCTGTGGGGGGCGGCGTTTATGTGTGTGTGCAGTTGTGTGTGCGTGTGTGTGTGTGGTGTTTTGTGCGTGCGTGCGTGTGTATTTGTGTGTGTGTGCGTGCGTGTGTGTGCGTGTGTGCGCGTGTGCGTGCGTGAATGTGCGTGAGTGAGCGTGTACGAGTGTGTGCATGTCTGTTTGGGCGTGTGTGTATGCATGTGTGTGTGTGTTCGTGTATGTGTGTGTGCGTGTGTGCGTGTTTGTGTGCGTGTGTGTGAGTGTGTGTGTGTGTGCGTGTGTGTGTGTGCGTGTGTGTGGGTGTGGGTGTGTGCGTGTATGACTGTGGCTGTGTGCGTGTGTGTGTGTGTGCGTGTGTGCGCACTTGTGTGTGTGTGTGCGTGTGTGTGTGTGTGCGTGCATGTGCGTGCGTGCGTGTGTGTGTGTGTGCGTGTGCGTGTGTGCGTGTGTGTGTGTGTGTCTGTGCGTGTGTGTGTGCGTGTGTGTGTGTGCGCGTGTGCGTGTGTGTGTGTGTCGTGTGTGTGTGTGTGCGCGTGTGCGTGTGTGTGTGTGCGTAGGTGTGTGCGTGTGTGTGAGTGTGTGTGTGTGCGTGTGTGTGTGTTTGTGTGTGTTTGTGCGTGTGTGTGGGTGTGGGTGTGTGCGTGTATGTGTGTGGCTATGTGCGTGTGTGTGTGTGCGTTTGTGTGGACGTGTGTGTGTGTGCGTGTGTGTGTGCGTGCATGTGCGTGCGTGCGTGTATGGGTGTGTGTGTGTGCGTGTGTGCGTGTGTGTGTGTGTGCGTGTGTGCGTGTGCGTGTGTGTGTGTGTGAACGTGGGTGCGTGTGTGTGTGTGAGTGTTCGTGTGTGTGTGTGTGCGCGTGTGCGTGTGGGTGTGTGCGTAGGTGTGTGGGTGGGTGTGTGCGTGGGTGTGTGCGTGGGTGCGTGCGTGGGTGCGTGCGTGGGCATGTGCGTTTGCGTGGGTGTGTGCGTGGGTGTGTGCTCAGTGCTGCTTCCCGGCCAACTTAAGCTCTCCTCAGCTCGGTGCAGCTCAGTGCCGACGCTGGTTCCCACTTGCGGCGCTCCCCCCCGCCGCAGTCGGCAGCCCCCTTCGGGCTTTTCCACCCTCCACCTCCCCGCACGCGCCTCCTAGGCCCGCAGGTCTCGGCGCACTGGCCCATCCCTGGACTGTGCTTTGGTTCATTGGGTTGGGCTCTACTTCGTTGCGTTTTCCACCCGCTGCAGCTCTGTGGGGGCGCTGCTCCTCCCCTTCAGCGCTCCCCCCGCCGCAGCCGGCAGCTCTGCGTGGCCCGGCTTTCTCTATTCCTGTCGCGCCGGGGTTCCTCCTCCTTCCGTGCATTGCGGCTTTAATTTGCATACAGCGTGTCCCTTGTTACCTTTCCGCCGGAGCAGTCGCCCTCTGCCCAGCCGCCGACGCAAAAGTGTGTGCGTGGGCTTGCGTGGGCGTGTGCGTGGGCGTGGGCGTGGGCGTGTGCGTGGGCGTGCGCGTGGGCGTGCGCGTGGGCGTGCGCGTGCGCGCGCGTGTGCGTGCACGTGCGTGCGTGAGCGTGCGTGCATGCACGAGCGTGCGTGTGCGTGCGCGTGCGTGCGTGCGTGCGTGCGTGCGCGGGTGCGTGTGCGTGTGCGTGTGCGTGTACGTGTGCGTGTGCGTGCGTGTGTGTTTGTGTGTGTGCGTGCGTGTGTTGCGCTTGTGCGTGTGCGCGTGCGCGTACACGTGCGCGTGCGTGTGCGTGCGTGTGCGTGTCCGTGCCCGCGTCTGCGTGTATGTGTGTCAGTGTGTCTGTGTGTCTGTGTGTCGGTGTGTCTGTGTATCGGTTTGTCGGTGCATCTGTGAGTCTGTGTGTCTGTGTGTTTGTGTGTCTGCTTGTCTGTCGTTCTGAGTGTCTGTGTGTGTGTCTGTGTGTCTGCGCGTCAGCTCCTATGTGTGTCTCGGTGTCTCTGTGTGTCTGTGTTTTTGTGTGCCTGTGTGTCTGCGTGCCTGTGTGCCTGTGTGTCTGCGTGCCTATGTGCCTGTGTGTCTCTGTGTGTCTGTGTGTGTCTGTATGTCTATTGCTGTGAGTCTGTGTGTGTGTCTGTGTGCCTGCGTTCTGTGTGTCTCTGTGTCTTTGTGTTTCTGTGTCTGTGTGTCTGTGTGTCTGCATATCTGTGTCTGTGTGCCTATGTGTGCCTGTGTGGTGTGTAGTGTGTGCGTGTGCGTTGTGTGTGTGCGTGTGTGCGTGCGTCGTCCGTGCGTGTGCGCGTATGTGGGTGTGTGCGTTCATGCGCATGCGTGTGCGTGCGTGCGCGTGCGTGCGTGGGCGTGCGCGGGCGTGCGCGGGCGCGTGCGCGGGCGCGCGCGCGTGCGCGTGCGCGTGCGCATACGCGTGTGCGCGTGCGCGTGTGTGCGTGCGAATGCGCGTTCGCGTGCGCGTGCGCGTGATTGCGTGCGCGTGCGCGTGTGCGCGTGCGTGCGTGCGTGTGCGCGCGTGCATGTGGGCGTGCGTGTGCGTGTGCATATGCGTGTGCGCGCGTGCGTGCGTGTGTGTGTGCATGTGTATGTGTGAATACGTGTGTGTGTGCATGTGTGCAAATGTGCGTTATGGCGCGTGTGCGCCGGACTACCTTCCGTAAGCCTTGAGTGTTGAACCGACCCTTTTTTTGTCTCTGGTCCTAAAACGTCCTGGTCGCGGCGGAGATTTGTTCTCTCTATTGTTGGGGGGGCTGGTCCCAGGGAAGAATGTCCCCTGGGCTGCCCTGCGCGACAGAGAAATGCTTAGCACGACTGTAAGAGAAGTGCAACACAGATCGACACAATCTTTGCTGAAGGCATTGCTCAAAGTCTGTCTGAGGATGGAGCTTCTGAGGATGGAGTTTCAAATGCCCTCCTGGGGCCTGAACTTCAACAATGTTTCTCAGGATGGAGTTTCTCAGGATAAAACTTCTGAGGGTCAAGTTTATGAGTCCAGATTTTCCGTCAGAGCGCTCCTGAGGCATAAGTACGAGTAGTCTTCGCAGTCGTAGTCGCAATCGTAGTCGTAGCTGCCGGCGTCGTCGTTGCGCGGCGGGTGCCGCGGGGAACATTGCTCAGTTCCCCCCTGATCGGTGGGACACAAGTCCGTGAACAAGGCCGCCGAGAAACGAATTGGTTACCCCCTTCTTGGGGGGCATCTGAAGCATTACCGCAGGTACTGTGGCCTGCCAGGCTGCCTGTGCGCCTCACCCGGTTCTTGCTGCGCAGTGGGGGCGCGCAGCAAGAACCGAATGCCCTGTCGTCGGGATGCCTCGGGTTCTTTGGCTCGGCGCGCTGCGCGGTGACTTCCCGCGGCCGTGAAAGAATCTAGGCCTCCCAGATGGGGTCGGAGTAGATAGGGCCGGGGGATCGCGCCGATGCATCGCCGATGCATCGGCGACGCATCGGCGATGCATCGGCGATGTGGCTCGATGT